CTGGCTGGCCTCGGTCAGCAATTGCTCGGTATGCGGATGGCCTTCGCCGGAGCCCAATTGCTGGTCGATGATCGCTCGTTCCTCGTCGCTGACGGCGCCGGCATCCATGAAGGCATCGACAAAAAAGCGCAGACCCTGCTCGGTCGGCAGGCGCCCGGCAGAGACGTGCGGCGCATAGATCAGGCCGAGCGCCTCCAGATCGCTCATCACATTGCGCACCGAGGCCGGCGACAGCGATGTCGGCAACATCTTGGACAGGTTGCGCGAGCCGACCGGCTCGCCCTCGGTGAGATAGCTTTCGACGATGCGCCGGAAGATGTCGCGCGATCTCTCGTCGAGCTTTTCGTCCAGTTCGGTGGCTGTCGGGGTGATATGCTGCATTGGCGCGTGGCAATCCCTGTTGCCCCAGATATATGCCAGCGACGGAATTCGGGAAAGGGGCGACAGCGCACGGTTCCATCGGGCGCGCAAACCGTCTAGACACGGCGCGGATTTCAAACCCGAAGGACATTCCATGAATCGGCCATCCGGGCGCATGCCCGACCAAATGCGCGCCGTCTCGTTCGAGCGCGGCATCTCCAAGCATGCCGAAGGCTCTTGCCTGATCAAGTTCGGCGACACACACGTTCTGTGCACCGCGAGCCTTGAAGAGCGGGTTCCGCCATGGCTGCGCAATTCCGGCCGCGGCTGGGTGACGGCCGAATATGGCATGCTGCCACGCGCCACTGGCGACCGGATGCGTCGCGAGGCGTCATCGGGCAAGCAGGGCGGCCGAACGCTGGAAATCCAGCGTCTGATCGGCCGGTCGATGCGGGCGATCGTCGATCTCGAAGCGCTTGGCGAACGCCAGATCACCGTCGACTGCGATGTGATCCAGGCCGATGGCGGAACACGCACAGCGGCGATCACCGGTGGCTGGATCGCGCTGCACGATTGCCTGGACTGGATGCATTCGCGCCAGATGGCGTCCAAGACGCGGGTGCTGAAGGACCATGTCGCGGCGGTCTCGTGCGGCATCTATCAGGGCACGCCGGTGACCGATCTGGACTATGTCGAAGACAGCAACGCGGAAACCGACGCCAACTTCGTGATGACCGGCACCGGCGGCATCGTCGAGGTGCAGGGTACCGCCGAAGGCGCGCCGTTCAGTCGTGACGAGTTCAACGCCCTGTTCGGTCTGGCGGAGAATGCCGTCGCCGATCTGGTCGCGATGCAGAAACAGGCCGTCGGGGGCTGAGCATGGCACGGCGGCTCGAACCGGGACGGCTGGTGCTCGCCACGCACAATGACGGCAAGCTGCGCGAGATTCGCGGGCTGATCGGCCCGTTCGGCTTCGATGTGGTTTCAGCGGGCGAACTGGGTCTTGATGAACCCGAGGAAACCGGAACGACGTTCAAGGACAATGCGCGAACCAAGGCGATGGCCGCGATGGAGGCGACCGGCCTGCCGGCGCTAGCCGACGACAGCGGGCTATGCGCCGAGGCGCTCGACGGGGCGCCGGGCGTCTACACCGCCGACTGGGCGGAGACCGGCAATGGCGATCAAGATTTCATGATGGCGATGCGCACGGTCGAGGAAAAGCTTCAGGCGCTGGGTGCGGCAGAACCGGACCAGCGGCGCGCCGCGTTCGTCGCGACGCTGTGTCTGGCCTTTCCCGACGGGCATTGCGATTTCTTCCGGGGCGAGGCGCCCGGCCATCTCATATGGCCGCCGCGCGGCGATCTGGGCTTCGGCTATGATCCGGTGTTCGTGCCCGATGGACACAGCCGCACGTTCGGCGAGATGACCGCCGAGGAAAAGCATGGCTGGAAACCGGGCGAAACCGACGCCTTGTCGCATCGCGCCCGCGCGTTCAAACTGTTTGCCCATGACTGTCTGGGCGTCACCTGATCAAACAGCCCCGGCGCCGCTCAATGGCGATGACGGATCGCCGGGCTTCGGCGTCTATCTGCATTGGCCGTTCTGCGCGGCCAAATGCCCCTATTGCGACTTCAATTCGCATGTCCGCCACGCGCCGGTCGACCAGACGGCCTTTGCCGAAGCGTTCCTTCGCGAGATGGCGCATGTGCGGGACCTGACCGGTCCGCGCGAGGTGACATCGATCTTCATCGGCGGCGGCACACCATCCCTGATGACGCCGGAAACGGTTGGCACGCTCCTCAATGCGGTTGCCGCACATTGGAGGGTTCCGGCCAACATCGAAGTGACGATGGAAGCCAATCCGCAATCGGCAGATGCGAACAGATTTGCCGGCTACAGGACTGCGGGCGTCAACCGGCTGTCGCTCGGCGTTCAGGCCCTGAACGATGCCGATCTCACATTCCTGGGCCGGCTGCACGATGCCGACGAAGCGCGCGCCGCGATCGAACTGGCGCGGCGGACATTCCCGCGCCTGTCGTTCGATTTGATCTATGCGCGGCCGGGTCAAACGCTGGCGGCATGGGCATCGGAATTGCGCGAGGCCATCTCGCTCGCGGCCGATCATCTGTCGCTCTACCAGCTGACCATCGAGGACGGAACGCCGTTCAAGGCACTGCACGCGGCCGGGCGCATCGCCATTCCGGACGGTGAACTGGCGAGCGATCTTTACGCGATGACGCAGGACATCACGTCCGATCATGGTTTGCCGGCGTATGAAATATCCAATCATGCCGTGCCCGGTGCGCAATCGCGGCACAATCTCACCTATTGGCGTTACCGCGATTATGCCGGCATCGGCCCCGGCGCGCACGGACGGTTTGCCGTTGGCGAGGCCGTCGAAAAGCACGTGACCATCACCGAGCGACATCCCGAGACCTGGCTGGAGCGTGTACGCCGGCGCGGTCACGGCATTGCCGAAACCGAAACGCTGGATCGGATGGCCCAGGCGGATGAGATGCTGATGATGGGCCTGCGGCTGACGGAGGGCGTCGATCTGGCACGTCACGAAGCGCTCGGCGGGCGCACAATCGATGGACAGGCGCTGCAGGCGATGATCGATCTGGGCATGGTCGAACGCGTCGGCAATGCCCGCATCCGGGCGACGGCGCGCGGGCGGATTGTGCTTGATTCCGTGATTGCCGAACTGGCGCAATGAGATGAGTGCACCGACCTACACGATCGCCGGCCACGAGATCACGGCGCCGCCGCTGGAGCCGGCGCTCTATCTGGTCGCAACGCCGATCGGCAACTTGCGGGATGTCACGATCCGCGCCCTGGAAACGCTGGCCGCCTGCGATGTATTGGCCTGTGAGGACACGCGGATTACCCGCCGCCTGCTCGACCGCTACGGCATTGCCGCCAAACCGGTCGCCTATCATGAGCACAATGCGGATCAGGCGGGTCCTCGACTGCTCGCCGCGCTGGCCGACGGCCGCTCCGTGGCGCTGGTCTCCGATGCCGGAACGCCTCTGGTCTCCGATCCCGGCTACCGGCTCGGTATCGAGGCAAGACAGGCAGGCCATGCGGTTGTCCCGATCCCCGGTCCATCGGCGGTTCTCGCCGCCCTTTCGGCCTCAGGCCTGCCCACCGACGATTTTCGGTTCGTCGGGTTTTTGCCGGCGAAAGACAAGGCCCGCCGCGACCGGTTGGCTTCGCTTCAGCACCAGCAATCAACCCTGATCGCCTTTGAATCACCGCACCGCCTAGTCGGCGCGCTCGAAGCCATCGCGGCAGTGATGGGGGCGGAGCGCACGGTGTGCGTCGCGCGCGAGCTGACAAAACGGTTCGAAACCGTAACGACGGGAACCGTCAACGAATTGTCGAACCGGTTCGGAGACGAAACGATAAAGGGCGAGATCGTTTTGCTGATCGCGCCGGCGAAGACGGAAACCGGCCAAGCCGAGGCGACTGACATCGATGCGCTGCTCGCCGAACTTCTCGCGGACATGCCGGCGGGCAAGGCGGCGCGGGAAGCCGCGCAGATGACGGGCCTGCCCCGCGCCGATCTCTACGCCCGGATCCTTGCGCGGAAAGAGACCGGTGACTGAACCGGGCGGCGCCAAGCGCCGAAAAGCCGAAAGGCGCGGCCACGCCGGTGAAACCCGGGCAACGTGGCTGATGCGCCTCAAAGGCTTCCGCATCGTGGCGCGCCGCTACAAATGCCGGGCGGGCGAGATCGACCTGATCGTCCGGCGCGGCGATCTCGTCGCAATCGTCGAGGTCAAGGCAAGGCCGTCACTGGCCGAGGCGATGGACGCCGTGACGCCTTACGGGCGCCGGCGCATCATCGGCGCGACCGATCACTGGCTGGCCGGACAGCCGGACCATGGCCGGCTTTCGGTAAGATTCGATCTGGTCGCTGTGCTTCCGGGCCGCTGGCCTGTGCATGTGCCGGCGGTGTTCACGGCCTGAAGCCGATTGATTTTGCCGCGCACGCGCGCCACTTAGGGCCAACCCAATCGAGGAACGATCATGGCGCTTACCATCGCGGTCCAGATGGACCATGTCTCCACCGTCGCGATCGAGGGCGACACCACGTTCGCCCTGTGTCTCGAGGCGCAGGCGCGCGGCCATGACCTGTTCCACTACACGCCCGACCGGCTGGCCCTGCGCGACGGAACGGTCAGCGCCTTGCTCGAGCCGCTGACCGTGCGCGACGTCAAGGGCGATCATTTCACCCTGGGTCCGGCCCAACGCACGGACCTGTCCCGGATGGATGTTGTGCTTCTGCGGCAGGACCCGCCGTTCGACATGAACTACATCACGACGACGCATATTCTCGAACGCATCCATCCGAAAACGCTGGTGGTCAACGACCCGGCCTGGGTGCGCAATTCGCCCGAAAAGATCTTCGTCATGGAGTTTGCCGACTTCATGCCCGAAACGCTGATCACCAAGGATGTCGATGCGATATCCGATTTCCGGCGCGAGTTCGGCGACATCATCGTCAAACCGCTTTATGGCAATGGCGGTGCCGGCGTCTTCCATCTGCGCGATGGCGACCGCAACCTGACCTCGCTGATGGAGATGTTCGGCCAGCTGACCAACGAGCCGATCATCGCCCAGCGCTATCTGGCCGATGTCCGCGCCGGCGACAAGCGTATCATCCTGATCGACGGAGAGCCGGTGGGCGCCATCAACCGCGTGCCGCATGAAAGCGACACGCGCTCGAACATGCATGTGGGCGGCAAGGCGCTGGCGACCGAGATGACCGAGCGCGAGCGCGAGATCTGCGCGGCGATCGGGCCGGCGCTGCGGGAGCGTGGCTTCATCCTGGTCGGCATCGACGTGATCGGCGGTCTCATGACCGAGATCAACGTGACCTCGCCGACGGGCGTGCGCGAAGTCGCCAAGTTCGGAGGCGCCGACATTGCGGCGCTTTTCTGGGATGCGGTCGAAAAGCGGCGCTGACCGGCGCCCGTTTGTTCCGCCATACAATCGGCCACAACCTGAATACAGCCTTGACGCGTATTTGTTCCCAAAATGTTCTTGCCTTGTTTCACAACCTGTGCTTGATTGATTGACGGGTGCGGGTTGTGCGTGGCGGATGGTCCGGTGCACGCGCCACGCCCTTCGCGCACAGGGGGCAAGGACATGGTCGCACGTGTGACGACAGTCGCCTTCCAGGGCATCGAGGCGGTGCCGGTCGATGTTCAGGTGATGGTGGCGCCGGGCAAGATGATGATGCAGATCGTCGGCCTGCCGGACAAGGCCGTCGCCGAAAGCCGCGAGCGGGTCCAGTCGGCCTTGCATGCATCGGGTCTGTCGATGCCGCCCAAGCGTGTGACAGTCAATCTGGCGCCGGCCGACCTGCCCAAGGAGGGCAGCCATTTCGATCTGCCGATCGCGCTGGGACTGATGGCGGCGCTGGGCGCCATTCCCTCCGACGCGCTGGCCGGCTTTGCCGTGCTGGGGGAATTGTCGCTCGACGGCACCATCGCGCCGGTCGCCGGCGTCCTGCCGGCGGCAATTGCGGCCAATGCATCGGGAAAAGGCCTGATCTGTCCGGCGGCCTGCGGCGCCGAAGCGGCATGGGCGGATGCGACCATGCCGATCCTCGCGCCGGTCAGCCTGATCGGGCTTGCCAATCATTTTCGCGGCACGCAGGTGCTGTCGCGGCCACGGGCGGCGATGCGCGAGGCGGCATCCAACCTGCCCGACATGGCCGACATCAAGGGACAGGAAACGGCGCGGCGTGCGCTGGAAGTCGCCGCGGCGGGCGGTCACAACCTCCTGATGGTCGGCCCGCCCGGTTCGGGCAAATCCATGCTGGCGCAGCGCTTGCCGTCGATCCTGCCGCCGCTGTCGGCACGCGAACTGCTCGATGTCTCGATGATCGCCTCCATCGCCGGCGAACTTGCGGGCGGCGAATTGACCGACCGGCGCCCGTTCCGCGCGCCGCATCATTCGGCCTCGATGGCCGCCATGGTCGGCGGCGGGCTCAGGGCGCGGCCCGGCGAAGTGTCGATGGCCCATAATGGCGTTCTGTTTCTCGACGAGTTCCCCGAATTCGCGCCGCAGGTGCTGGACAGTCTGCGCCAGCCCCTGGAAACCGGCAATTGCATGATCGCCCGCGCCAATCACCGTGTGTCCTATCCCGCCCGCATCCAGCTCGTCGCCGCGATGAACCCGTGCCGGTGCGGCATGGCCGGCACGCCCGGGCATGCCTGTTCACGCGGCCCGCGCTGCCAGACCGATTATCAGGCGCGGATTTCGGGGCCGCTGATGGACCGGATCGACGTCCGCGTCGAGGTGCCGGCGGTGATGCCGGGCGACCTGATCCGGCGCAAGCCGGGAGAGACGAGCGCGGCGGTGGCTGCGCGGGTTGCAGGGGCGCGCGCACTGCAGGCAGACCGATACACCGGTCTCGGCATGGCGGAGGTCGGCGTCAATGCGCACTGCCCGACGGCGATGATCGAGGAGGTGGCGAAGGCCGATGGCGGCGCGCTTCAACTGCTTGCGGACGCTGCCGACAAGATGCGCTTTTCGGCACGCGGCTATCACCGCATCCTGAAGCTGGCGCGGACACTGGCCGATCTCGACGGGCACGACGCGGTCGGCCGGATCCACATTGCCGAGGCCATCTCCTACCGCATCATGGGCGATGCGATGGCCGCCGCGGCGTGATGGAAACCGGGCCGAACCGGCCCATTTGCGGCCGCCACCGGCGCAAGACCGCCGATCCGGCCGGATGGCGCCAGCCGGTCAGCCCGCGCGGGCGGCGATGGCGACCGCCGCCCCGCCCAGACATGTGGCCGCAAACCGGTTGAGCGCCTTGAGCGCCCGCGGCGTCCTCAGGAAGATGCGTGCCCGGCCCGCCAGCCCCGCATAGGGCACCATGACGGCGACCAGAACGAGAAATGTCACGGCGATCAGGATGGTGAAGTCCGCCATGGTCACCGCCGTCATGTCGATCAGGGTTGGCAGAAGCGCCAGATAGAAGACCATCGTCTTGGGATTGCCGAGCGTGACCAGCAGGCCGGCGACGAAGCCGGCCACCGCACCGCCGCCATCGGCCTTCGCATCGATCGTTTCGGCGGTGACCCCGGCCCGCCAGAACCCGATGGCCATCCAGACGAGATAGGCGGCGCCGGCATATTTGATGACGACGAACAGCGTGCCGAAGGTCGATGCGACATAGGCGAGGCCAAGGATCGCCGCGGCCAGATAGACAACGTCACCCAGCACCAGGCCGAACAGCATGGGCAGTGTCGGGCGGAGGCCGGCGCCGAGCGCCCGCGCGACGATGGCGATCACGCCGGGCCCCGGAATGGCGGCGGCGATGGCAAGCGCGATCGCATAGGTCAGAAAATCGGGCAGGGTCATCGGCGCGGTTCCGCTTCGGGATCACCGGCAAGCCCTATCACCGAGCCGATGGTCTGTCTGTGGTAATCCTGTCACCGGTACAAGATATCCAGCACCGGTCAATGGGTGCCGGTGGATCCGAAGCCACCGGCACCACGCCCGGTCGCGTCCGGCGGCTCGGTCGTCTCGGCGGTCGCCGCCCGGACCGCCGGCGCGATGACGATCTGCGCGATGCGCATGCCGCGCGTGATCTCGAAGACGTCGTGGCCGAGATTGATCAGCAGCACATGCACCTCGCCTCGATAGTCGCTGTCGATCGTGCCCGGCGTGTTCAGGCAGGTGACGCCGTGACGGACGGCGAGGCCCGAACGGGGGCGGATCTGCCCCTCGAATCCATCGGGAACCACCATGACGAAACCGGTGGGCACCGCAGCCCGTTCACCGGGCGCCAGAACGAACGGCACATCGTCCGGCACGGCGGCGCGGATGTCCATGCCGGCCGCGCCCTCGGTGGCATAGGCGGGAAGATCGAGCCCGTCTGCGTGAGAAAGACGGATGAAGGTCACGACGGTCGCATTCATCACCGCCTGATGCGCCGTCGCGCGCCTGCCGTCAACGGCTGGCCGTCCGATTGCGGACATCCATTGCCGCGCGGCCGCGATGAACAATCAGCCTGTGCGCCAGAAGCGCAAAGGCGAGGCCTTGCTCCGCGCCAGTTCGCCCCGTGCCTCCAGGTCCAGCTGGACTGTCTTGGCCCACCAGCCTGCCGTCTTGCCCTGCGGAAACAGCGTTGCGGGCAGGTGCGGCAATGCCGCCTCCTTGATCTCCCGGCCGGTCAAACCCGGCGGGCCGTCGGGCAGAGTGGCCAGCATGGCGGTCTTCATGGCCGCGTACTTGGCCGCGTCGACCCGTTCCACGCGGCCCGGAACATTGACGTTCCGCACTTCGATCTTGTCGGACATGGCGTGCTCCCTCGGCCCCGATCGCCGGTCATACTGGCACGATTGACACCGCCTGCGCACCCTGCCAGACACCGCGCGACCCAGGAACAGGCCCACCAAGACATCAAAATATGGCAGCCGGCAGCAAACAGGGCTGCCTCTCCAAATTCCAACTAACCTATCTCATGGGTTTCCGCTACCCCGAATCGGTGAGCTCGCCAACAAAGCGGCCCCCGCAAATCGCCGTTGAGCTGCATGCGAGATTCTGGGGCAGAAGTCCTTTAGCCATGTGGGTTGCATGCGTCAACGCCTTGGCTCCCTATTTCGGGCCTGGCAACATGGAAGCCCCGACCACATGACATGTTAGGATTCTGGTCCTCCAGTAGAGAGGTTAGAATAACGGAACCCACTTTTGTCCTTTATGTCTATTTTAGTAGGGGAACTCTCCCCAAAAAAAGGGGCGAGAAAGGGCACTACTGGGGGACCTAGTCCGTAATGCTTTCGTGTTCATGTGCAGAATCTCGAAATGCAACGTGAGGTCAAAAGATGCCCAGTTTTGGGGCTAGCTGCCCGAACATATGGCGCTTTGTTCAGCCAGCCGCTGGACCTGAAAAAAAGAACGCATGTCAACAACAGTGCAGGGACATGGGGCGTGGTATTCTTTTT